CCCGCTACCAAAACCTTGCCATACAAACCAAATACAAGTTGATACCTTCCTAGATATCATTTGTTCTTGTTCATTTGAACTACTGACTTGTTTATGATGCTGTATGAGTTAACTCCTTTTCTCACAAGGTGCTTTTCCCACAATTACAAGCCAGTCCTTGCCATTTCCAGTGTTTCAGTCCTTGCTGTCTTTGGCAGCCAGTGCTCCAACCATGCATCAGCCAATACGTGGCCGTACTCCCCCATGTGAAGTAGATTAGGCAGGTGCACTGAAGGAGGAAGCTCCTGCTCCTTGGTGCCTCCTCTGCTTGCTCACCTTCATAGAAAACCAGTGTCGGGAGCAGACCTGGCTGGAAAATAATCATGACAGGGCCAGGAGGTGGGCATGTTGGAGTGATATGGGGAGATACCAGGTACCACAGCATGGAGGACATCTGTCTGCTCAGATTTTAGAGCCCAAAATGCAGCTTGCTCTTCCTGAAATTGCAAGGCTCCCAACTAAGACTCCATTTCAACAACACCTTCACTACAGATCCCAGTCTCTTCCTTGATATTCCTCCCCTCTTGCTAATTGCTGAGCTAAACCATCCCTTCTTCTGCACAGCTTCTAAAACAGTGAAATGAAAGAAACAGAAACGCTTTGGGGATATCTGTATTTCAGACAGATTACATGCTGCAGCCTTACAGCCCAGCAGTGCCCCCCATGTCTCCCCCCAGTCTCATTGGGCAGATGTGTCTGGAGCTGCTGGAGGTCCTGGAGGTCTATCAGCATCACTTCACAACAGGACTAGTGATTCAAGCAAGCTGATAACCAAGGGTAAGCAAGGAGTTAAGGGAAGAAGAAAAACTGTTTCTTTGGTTTCCCTCTCCACTAGGCATTGGTTTAACTGGTAAATGAGGAAAGAACGATAACATACCTGTTGTGGAGTAAATGGTTTGGTAAAAAAAGAAAATAAAGAAGAGCACAGCAATAAAGGAGAGCAGCAGAATGGCACGTTTTCTCCCAGAAGTTAGTCAACAGCCTGTTGACTTTATTTATGAACAAAGAGCAAGGGAAAAGCAAAAAACAAAAACTACTAGATCTATATATTATACCAGGAATAGGCTGATTTCTTAGGAAAGCAACAGGCAGTTCAGAAATTATTCTCTGAGTTATAAAAAATATGTCAATACCATTAATATACAAACCTCAAGTAAAAATGAGCAGAAAGGGGTTTTCTTTTAATCTTTCTAAGGGACTGAAGTTTGACGTACAGTTTAGGAAGTTAACAAATGCATTTTCTTCTGCAGGGGATAGTCTTGGTGTTGCTCAGTTTCTCGCCATATAAATTGTACTTGATAACCCAGCTGAATTAAATACATACTTATGTATTTCATCCATTCCTGTATCTCTATTTTTAACATGTATTCTACCACAGGTCCATCTGGGGGAGTTGTTATTTTATTAACAGACAAAATGTTTCACTGCTTTAAGTACATCTACTTTTACTTACATGAGACTCCCAAACCATCTTACAGAAAACCGGAGGCAATTCCAGTGACTGTTATTTGGGGGTGGGGGAGAAGGGATAAGTAATTTTCTTCAAGCTTTTTTTCACCTAGCACCTCTCATTCCTTTTCCATCAATCATGTCTATGTTTCACATACAGAGAGAAAACAAAACAGAATAATGGGGTGACCCAAGTAGCTGTTGAGAGAAGGCAAATCCATCACCCATGGAAACAAAGCACTCTTTTACTTTTCCCTGTGTCCGTCTGAGATGCTCCTATCCATCCTGGCCCTGCCCTGTGGGCAGCCCACCCGACATCCTCACTAATGCAGGGAACATCCATGCTCCAGGTGCCCACATCCCCAGGACTCACCTGAGCGCCGTTCTCCAGCAGCACCTTCGCGCAGGCGACGTGGCCGCCCAGGCAGGCATCATGGAGAGCCGACACACGGTCCGTCGTCACCAGGTTCACATTGAAACCCTGCAAGGCAGGGCAGGGGGTGTGAAGGGAGAGTCCTGCCCGAACCATACAGCTGACGTGGGTGCAAAGGGTGTTTGGACTGTGGCAGGGGAGACCCACACCACTGGGCGCAGGAGGGTGCATGTCAGGGAAGGTGCGTGGGTTTCTTTAGTGCTGCCCAGTGCTTCCGTGCTGGTCCTCAAAGATGTTGTTGGGGTTAAAGAGGAAGCAAGGACAAGCTGTATGTCCTATTTCTGGTTCTTTAAAATGCATGGTCACTCATAGGACAGACATCACATTTCCATAACTTACAAGGGTGATGTTTACTTCCTTGTCAAGACCAGCACCAGGAGCTGTAGCTGGTGGGATTCAACTTCCCGAATGGGGCTGCCTCCAGCTGCTGTTACCTGAGCCCTTGGGTCCTTTGACAGGCAGAAAGAGGCACCCCTAGGATATGAGTCATCCTGTACTAAAGCAGCTGATGAATTGTCAAGTCAGATGAATTGTGTCCTGAAAATACTTCCATTGCCCATTGTGTTTCGCTCAGAGGCAGTAAGTACCTAGTAGACCTCTTATTTGACCACCCAGGAAACATGTTACACCAAAAGGAAAGAAATGTGATATAGAAATGCCTCATTACAGGTATTTGCCTAAATGACAGTTTTTACATCTACTCTCATGCAAACAGAAACCAGACATATTCACAAAGGGGAAAGCAATTGTCATATGTGTTTTCCCCAGAATGCAGCTAAATCTCCTGGTAAGTAAGATTTCGCAACCATGTGTAAAAACAGGCATGGAAGCATCTCCATTTTCCTCTTATATTTTGTAATACAGTTGGTCTCTACCTGATGTGCTATAAACTCAACAGCTCACGAGATGGCAGCAAAGCACTTTCTGGTATGCAGCAGCAAATGAGCTGGGCAGAAATAAGTTATGAGCAATGTAACACTGTAAAAAACACCAGTCCCCATGCAATGAGCATTAAAAGCAACCACTGTAACCACTTTAAGATAGAAATTCTATGATAGAAAAACAATTTCTTTTCAGTTATGTGGAAGCATTATTAATGTAAAAGCCATTGCTAAAAATTTCCCATACATTACATCAGTGCCAGGGGAATAGATAAAAACTTGAAAAAATGTTGAGATTATTCCATTTTCTAATTGTATAGGTGTGCCATACTTAATGATCAGCATATTCCTTCAAGAAGAATGTCTTCTAGATAGTCCTGTAAGAAGAGGACCACTTTTCTCAATCATTATTTGGATATACATATTGAAAAAATGAAATTCAGTCATTGAAAGTGAAAGAATAAGTATTAATATCTTGGGCAAAACAGCAATCCCTTCCATTAAAAAATGGAGATGAAGCTATAGATCTTACTATAGCTGTTTGCCAAACACTGCTCATGTTAAACCTTGTTTTCAGATGGTTATAAACTCTTCCCAATGTATCTGAAAAATCAAACTCTTCCTTCAGTGCTGGAAGAGGCACTGATGAGTTCCTGAGCTCATTTAGAACTCCAGCACTCCATTATCCCCTTACATCCAGGTATCTCTTGCAGAGCAGAAGCCTCACTGGCTTTCTTGAAAGCTATGGTCCCATGGCAGAGACTTCTGAGTGTCCCACATATACTCTAAAGTATAGCTCCATATTTAGTTTTAGGCTACTAGAGTAACTATACGAGAAGCCACAAGCAATGACTATGCTGCTCCATGAACGGCTTCATCCCTACATTTGTCAAGCTGTGGTGACTCAGCTCCAGTTCACTCTCTACAGACATTGCTGCCTTGATCTGTTTTCATCAGCAAGGACCCTCATCCTTCACTCCCAAAATTAAATGCCTTTGGGAGAAGGAGAAAGGGTGGATTAATTAAATGATGTATAACCACAATACCAGGTGTTTTTCCAGTGTATAACTGACCAGTGTGTAACTGGGGTAACCACAACAGTGGGTGCCCCTCACTAATAAGATGGTGTAAGGTCAGTGTAAATGGAGATAGAGAGGGTCAGAAAACCAGCAAAGTCCTGAACGAATGAGCCCTCTTCCTTATTATCTCTAATGTCCATCACTTCCTTTTCCATAAAATCATTTGTTATCATCAGGTGAAGGAAAGAAGGATCAGGAAATGGGAGGGGGTAAACTGGCTGTAAACAGCAAACTGTTTTAGCTGCCGCTGTGACTCGACAAGTGTCTGGATGGAGGATTTTACACCCTCCGCTTCACTCCTTGAGGACATAACCCATTCGAGCTATGGCCTCACTGTTAAAAATTATTTACTTTGAATATAAGAAGTCTGACGGGCAAATCACAGGGTTTACACTCAGGGAATTAATGTCCCTGCAGTTGTCTTTATTGGGACAGAGGGGGGTGGGCAGATGCTCATTCGTGCCAGATGAGGGCATTAAGTTTAAGCAAAGGTTACTTACTACCTTTGAAGAAGATGGTTGGTGAAGCATGAAGAACCATAACCTGTCCCTTTGCAGCTGCACACTTTCATATCCAACTTCTTGTCCTTTCTAGTATGTTCTTTCCTCCTTTCTTTCTTTTGCCTGAACTCTTGATTTCATTTGGAGCAGAGGGTTTCAGGCTGACAGCTCTCTCTTTAGGAAGACCATGCTTGCTGTTTTGTAAAGTAGGATGTACTTTACAGCTTTCTACTGTTTTTTTTTTTTTAAATAGCTGATATGTGTGTGTGTGTGTATATATAAATATACACACACACACACAGTCTGTATTCTCAAGCCCAGTTTGCATGATTTATCATTAAGAAAGAGCCAAAGGCTCATTGTTTATCACACAGCAAGGTACAAGCTGTAACAGTCTTTGTTCCGAGCTTGTCTCCAGCATCCTAACTAAGCAAACTAATACATTCCACAGGTATGCATGCAGATATATTATTTATACAACTGTATTTCTTACACAGTCTATTACCAGCTCACCAACTCACAGATGCAGATCAACAGAAACTACGCTGCTTCCCAACCTTTTCTTTACCTGTGGGCTTTTACCTGTGCAATCAAGGTTTTCAAAGACAGGAGACGTCCTTGGAAGGCAGCGTCATGAAGAGGGGATCGGTCTGCCCAGCTGCCTGAAACAGCAAATGGATAAAGGTTAACTCAGGCAAGCAACAAAAGCAGATCCTAGGGGGACAGGGAAAAACCAGCTGTGTGTAAATGCAGATCAGGACTGAAATCAATGTGGGGTCACTATTTGATAAATGGATTTCAGCAGAGCAGCTGAAGGCTTAGCACTCCTGAGAAAACTGGTTGCTTGCTAAGGGACCTAAACAAAAGCTTCTTGGCAGAACTTTTAAAAAGAGCTAAAAACATGCTTCAGCAAGGACCACAAGTATAGGGATGCTGGGACTCACCCAGGGACTTCAGAGCCCCACAGTTCTGTTCAAAAATGTATCAGCCTCCACCTTTCCTTGGAAGCTTTTGTCACAAATCGTATTGCAGCTTCTCTTGCACTTCATTAAGAGACTGATAGCAGGGAGATGTGGGGATGACTTGTCCATCAAATGAATTCTAGCATGTCCCTGGCAGTTTTATTTCCTGAACTGACAATTTCATAAATAATATCCTCCAGCTCAGACTAGTGGTAACAGGTTTCATCCTCCTCCTCACTGGAAGGTTTCAGAAAAGACATGGAAAAATAAATTCTGCCTGAGGGTTTACTTTTCTTCCTTAATCATTTTGAGTTGTTGAACTGTTCAGACTCCTTCATGTAGGCTAGCTTACCCTTTTTCTTATCTTAATCTATTCATACGCCAAGAAAAAAATCCTAGCTACTACCTACAGCCATAGTCAGTCAGCCCAGGTTAAATCCCTTCAACTCAAGAAAGAGAGTATATTCACCTAACCTATATTAAAATTTATAACCACACCGTGACACAGTGCGTAGTAAGCATTTCTCCAAGGGACAGCTGCATTTACAGTGCCACAGGACAGAAGCAATACCAGTGTTTGCATTCACGCTCTGTTCTACAGCAACCCCATGAGCACTATATTTGAAACCCTTGTCCTGTGTAATTTTTTCAGCTATGCCACACACCAGAGAGAATGGTTTTTTTTTATCTCCATTTCAGGTGTTACCCGAGGCAGGGAGAAATCAATGAGAGGCACAGACACATCCCTGGGGACTTGAGGCCAAGGACACAGCAGAGGTTTCAGTCTTGGGAAAGGGAATTTCCTTTTGTTACCCAAGAACCAGGATGCACTTCAGCTCATGGGATTACAGTTTTAACTATAATTACTACTTTTGTTTGCATTTATTTAAGGAGCTGTTCCTGGGCTCCTAAGGCAGGAAGGTGGCATGGAAAGACCAGCCAGCACAATATATAACCAGGCTCCTAAGGACCAGGTAGGACACAACAGGCAAAATGATGGACACGGGAACCAGGTAGGCACTGCGAAACATTTTCCTGAAAACTTAAAAAGAAATTCACATTCCTTATCATGCTGGTGACTGAAATAGCCAAGCTCAATTCAGAAAGTCAGAAGACATTGCAAGTGACAAAAAGCAGGGCCCTTGTAGAGCAGGAAGATTCAGAAGTAACTCACACAACAGAGCTACAGTGCCTTATTTAACCTTTTACACATCTAGTATAGCATGTGCAAGCACACGTCAAATGCATTTACAATGCACGTGTATGCACACATACGCCTCACCGTGAAAACACATACTGCTGCAAGCTTCCATGCGAGCCATAGCAACCTACCTCCCTGAAACGTGTGGCAAATATAGTTCCCATACAGGGCACATCTTCCCTTTCCAGTGGTGAGTGACATATCTGGTAACACTGTGTCTTTTTAAATATCTACAGATAAATTAAGTAGCCCTGCTGCTGCTGCTGCTGCTGCGCTACTTCACTGCAAAGGGAAAAGGCTGGGAAGCTCCGCCTGTAATCCAATACAGTGCCCCAGCAACAGCATCACATGTTCTTATGTTTTGAAAGATTATCCTTAATGGCTTTTTGCAAATGGCAACTTGCAGATAAAAATACGTTGTGGTCTGCTAAATATCAAGCCCCTTCAATAAGAACCTGCATGAAGGAAAAACTGCTGCTTGCCACATACCTGACTACAATTGCATGAAGGCACTTGGAAAAAAATGACAGTAATACATTATTGGCATTACATTCTGGAGAACAGCAAAAAACCTGATAACCCAGACATGTCTGTGTATAAAGGCTTTGTAAAAAAAATGCTTTGCTGCAGTATTTCTCTTGGCCAGATCTTAATCTCTCTGTTTCGGGTGGTCATCTCAAACCACCCGTGTTCCGCTCACATCCATGTGCCTGTCCATGGCAGTACTATTCATCATGAAGCAAGTACCAAACAAATGAGTCACATAAAAATCTGTGATGTCACAATGCTGACAAGAATCTTCAAGTAGGAAAGGAAGTCCTCATTAGTAGTAAATTTAAAATACTGTGTCATTTTAATTAGTGGAATTACCAGGCATGCAAATGCGTGTCTACTCATTATTGCAGCAGTGATGTGGAAGAGCAAAATCACTTGCAAAAAAACCCCAAAGAAAATAAATTACCTACTAAACAGCCTACTAAATACAATATAGTCCCATGTTCTAGTCCCAGATAGAACAATTTTAGCTGTGTTGATTTTTATCATCTGATTTAACAAAACAGGAGTTCTTGGCTTGGGTTCATAAAGTCATTAGTTGTATACTCCTGTATCTCCTTTCAGAAAATCAGCATGCTAAAACTTTTCCCTAAATATTCTCTGGCAGTAAAGCTAGTTATTTAGCAAAACCATCTGTAACCCCTGATAAAGAATGCCTTGCTTCCACGAACAATCTTTTTATTTACCATAGTGTCTTGAGCAAATGTTGCCCTCATTCTAGCTGGGTAATCTTTGGAGTCTCATATTTTGCACACCTAAATCATGCCAACACATACTGACACTGTGAAGACCCCAGAAATGGAAGGCACTTCAGGTTAAAACATTCACCCATGCATTTAGCAACAGATTCCTCATTTTGTGGCAAATCAATTATTTAAATCTCACGTTACAAAAATGTAGCAAATATACATTTAAATGTTAGAGTGTCAATATTTTTACTTTACCTGGGACTATCCCATAGATCTCTTCTGCTATTCTGGCAGCCTCTTTTCTATTGCCTTTAACAATATAGAAATGGGTCAGCAAAGCCAAGGAAATCTTAATTAAAAGTTTAAAGCAAAACAAAGCAAAAATAGCAAAATAAATGTTGGTGAAGGCATGGAGTATAGAACTGCCCTCCATTTTAGTTTGCTCTTTGAATAGTTTTTCAGGTCAGCTAAGTTGCACTGGGCTATTCTTGGTATCATATGTCAGTTATTTTAAACCCTCCAGAACCTCCTGTTCCTCAGTTACCAAAAATACATTCTGGTTTTATTTGGTATGGGCTATTTGATACCAAATAACAATACCAAGGATAAGAGAGTTCGGACATCCCATGCCATATAGGAAACAAACAGAAAAGATTTTCCAAACCCACATGAAAATAAATTTTCAGATGGATGCTCTCCACACCACCTGAAAGCCTATACACCCACATTATATTTATTCTTTGATGTAGCTGTTCCATTTATAAAGGCTGCATAGGTAAAGCTGCACAAATTGTTCAGGGATACTGCAGGAAGAATACTTTTCTGTCTTTCCCATCTTGGTAACAGGCCTCGCTGGTACTCAGATACAGAACAAATGCAAGTGTATCAAAGAAAAGCATTATCATGAAAGAATCTGACATATACCCACATATTTTCAAAGTCAGGGCTAAGAAGTCAGTTATTCTAGGAGGGGAAAAAATATATCGAAAGTGTGTAATCAGAAACACATGATAACATACTGGTATTTTTCATCACTCTGGGATAAAGAATGGTGTCTATTAATATCCCTTGAAAACAGCATCTTACTCTTTTGAAAGAATGGAAATATTTTTACATTATCCATCACTGATTCAAATACGTCATATTAGAAACTGAAGAAGATGCACCCTTTCTTTAACTGACCTTTTTTCTTTCTGAAGGTACATGGCTTCCACAGAGAACAGAGTATTTTTTCTACATGCAGTTAAATGAATCTATGCAGAATACCCAATTTCCTTTTTATTTAAAATTTCTTGATTCCTATGTTCCTATATGCACAGCAGGAGGGAGATTTATTTCTTTCTTTGAATCCCCTCCTTGCCCAGGTTCTCTTACCCTTCAATTTACACATCTGTCAAGGGAACAAGCAGGATGACTCTCATGTCTTAGGGGTTCCAAAGAGATGGTGGATATGCAGAAGGAAATTTTACAGAAAATTATTTCCCTGGACATTTTAGATGCAATTTGTTTTGTTTCGTAGCAATACAGTTGGCTGGGAAACAGTACCTTGCTGTCTTTACCACTCTGCCCTCCAGGGTACACCATTATACTACATAAAATATGTGTGGACACACTGAAAAAAATACCTCAAGCTATTTTTTCACTTTTCAAGTGAACCATTTTTTCTAAAATTCTGAATTTAACCAAGATATTACATTTTTACAAATAATATCTTACATAAATATTGTGTATACCTTTCCTTCCACACTAATATAAAACACCTGTAGAAACTAGAACACCTATGAATCCAAAAGAGGGAAATAATTGCCTATTTTTAGTCACTTTAATGCTGTTTGCCACAGAAAAAGTCAGCTGAAGACACAGATTACATGGCAAGAGAAGTTCAGTTAAGGAATCAGAGCAAAACAGTTAAGTTGGCTCAACTGGGAAACAAAAAGGAGAAATTAGTGAACAAAGGTAGACCAAAAAAGGGATGATCAGTTAGCCCTAGAAAAATATGACATAATAAAAACACTCCTCCCAAAACCAAAGAAATAGCAAAAGGTGTAAAGAAGGGACTATAGGATGCAGAGGAAAAGAACAAATGAACAAAATTAAGATCATTACAAAAAAAAGGTCAGCCTAAGTGATGGAGAAATCTTTCTCACAGAGGATCCACAAAACTGGCATTCAATAGGATATAAGAAGGAACAGCACCTTTTAAGAGAAAGACCACAAAACAGACTTTTACTTGCAAAGGAGATCCATTGATCTTCTTTCACAATCAGCCTGGCAGATAGTAGGTAGAACTGGAAAAGTCCACAACCCTCAGAAGAATACACGAAACTGCAGATGAGGTTATTTCCACTGAAATTCTCTTATCCCAAAAGGAGGGTGAAACTCTAATAATATTGAAAAGCTCCTCAGGTAGTCTAAAAAAACGTGGGAAAGTTTGACCACTTGGAAGCAGTTACAGGTACGTGATGCTTCCAGAAGAAAAAACTCTATTTGCATAGTAGCAAAATCACCCTCCTGGCTTCAAAACAAGACAACTAAAGACTTTCAGTTAAATTATGGAGTTCAGAAAAGGTCATGTAATCTCTTAATCTGCTCTTAGTGTACAAGAACACTAGGAAAATTACTGCAGTGGATTAAAAAAAGAATCATCAGTGGGAAGACTGCTGAATAGCATGGTGGGAAGTATTAATACTGCTGAAGATGGTAGTCAGGTAAGTTGTAGCGAGATCTGGTGTGATCACTCAGAAACATCTGGTATTTCTGAAACTAAAGGAAGGTGAGTAATGTAATGCAGGCATCAGAACAGATATAGCACAACGGAAGAGCAATGACAACACAGAAACAGGAATCTCATCCTTCCTCCCTCACTGTTTTGGACAGCATCATTGTGACCTGAATGAGATGGATTTTGCAACTCCCATCGATAGGCTGGAGTGAATAAGCCAGCCCTCCGTAGGAAAACATGCCTTCTTGAGAACTTCTGCAGAATAGCCAAACTGCTCCATGAATCACACTAGCTTTCAGCTAGGGGAATTAATAAATTGACACATCAAAATATCCAGAAAATGTATTAATCCTTCAATAAAATTGTCATGCGATGGTGAATGAATAAAGTAGTTCAGCTAGATCCTCCAAAGAACTGAAAGCTAATGTTTGTATATCCTTAATTTACAGAAACACAAGGAGTAAGCACAAAAGGAAAGGCAGTCCTGCTTAGAAGACCACTGATTTTCACTGCTATTCACCTTAACTTTAACCAACAGTGAGGAATGTCAGATGTGACCTGAAGAATTTGGCAGGGATATAAAGATTAGAGGGATCCTCTTCTCAAAGAAATTTAAAGAGGTATTAGTCTGTTCTTATGCTAGACACTGAATTACAGCAGTGCATTTCTAATGTACATAGTTGGGAGTCTGAATATCAAATATATTCAATCAAAGTAGGACAATTGGGAAAACAAAGGAGACAGAAACCTTTTATCTCAAAGGGAAGAAATGTGAACAAAGATGTACTGTAGAGCCTAGCTATTTCTTTTCTACCAGTCTGACCTAATAGATGACACTGCTTCCTGTAGATGCCTCGCCTCGTTTATATCCTGCAGCCAGCACTCGTGCAACACTCCTCTGCTCTGAAAAAGGGAGGTACCGAGTGACTCACTGCTCACTCTCACACAAGCAGATGTGGGATTCATCTCACCCATCCACCACCCATCGCACCACCTAACGTCTGGTTATCTAAACTCCTGCTGCTGCCTGGGCAAGAAAACAGCAAATTCCAGCAGGCAATTAATTACCCTCCCGCCTGCCCCCAAGGCCTGTGCTAGCAGGGGATGACTCCTTCTCCCGCTGCATGCCGTCACTCACTCCCGATTAAACCAGCTTCAAGAACTAGTGTGTACTAGACAACCTGCATAGGCATGATCAAAGTTCAGTGAATCCTGCAAAAATATCATTTCCAGAATTTATACCCGTGTTGAAGCAACTCAGAATCTGAAAACAATCGAAACTACCTGTTAAGATCTGCATAATTTCAGTAGAACAGTAAATTCAGATGTATAACCACATCTTGCCTTTAGTTTTGTTCCCTTAACAAAAAATATCTACCTTTTATCCAACTATGTCAACGCTAAAGTAATTAGGAAAAACTGTGGAAGTCGACATACTACTGAATGTCATAAAAGATGTACAGCAAATATGACGAGAGCAACTTAGTGATAGTAAATCAAACATTAAAAATATTTAAATATTTTTTTTAATTTAAAAAGAGTTTGCAAAACCATTTTCTTTTGAGATTGATCATTATTATATCTATTTACATAAAGTCTATATTTTACTGGAGTACTAAAAAGATGGTCTTGTACAATTATTTGTCTATCAGCCTAAGCAAATACAAAAAAAAAAAAGGACTACTGAAGAGAAATAAATATAAAAAGGGAGAAAAAATAAGTTTATTTTTAAAAGATGCAGAAAAACTTGATCACAAAAATAAGCACGTTACAGTGTATTTACCTTCTTACAGATCTACCCACATCCCTTAAAACACAACCGGAAAGGCAAATCTTACATTCATACTTTGCTTGATACTTGTTCTGGTTTAACACACAATTTTCAATTATCAGCACACTCTCTATACCTTAATTCACAGTGTCTGCATATAATGTATTGGAAACACATTTTTAACTTGTGCCTGCAAGATGGAATTTCACTGCAGATCAATGGTCCCTTCTATGAAAGGGGGGGACCTTCTATACAGGTTTTTGGGTGTTCCCTTCTCCTCCACACCTGAGGCTCTGCTCTACGCAAGACATGACTCAGCATCGCTCTATTTGGCGACATTTCCCTCGCATTTCACAATGGCCATGTTACCTACAACCACAACTGAAACATTTTAGATTTTTTTTAATAGTTCTTTTATTAATTTCCAAATACAAATTTCTAAAATACACTTATTATCTCTTCTCAGTTTTTTGTTATTGTGGTTATTTTATTTAAACTTTTCCATTTCAGTCACTGATGCTTTCTAAAATGGTGAATGACTCAGTGACATCATCCTTTACTCTACCGCACAGGGCGGGTAAGTGAATCAGTCCCACAAAGAGTTTGGTGCGATACAAGTTGTGTTACTTGAGAAACAGCATATTGGTTGTTAAACCAGTTATGGGTTATGTTTTTGTGGCAGCTTGTGGAGAATGTTTTGTGATCATCATCTTTCTTATAAGAAGTCCAACCACCAGTGATGGGAAAGAGCAAGATGAAGTATATTTCTGTACTTTCTAATTGTCTGTTCCCACATATTAATGAAAAATATCCATTCTTTATGGAAAGGTAAACAAACTTTTAGATAAACTGTAAATGTGTCTTGTAAACAAGATTATAACAAGGTTTTATTTTGTTATTCATAAGTACACAATGTTCCACAAAAGAGAGAAGTTCTCTGACTAGATTCTCACAATCCTGTTGAAAAATTAATTTGTATTTGTTATAAGAAACCAAAAAAGAAATAAACCAGAATAAACAAAATATTATTAAAAATATATATATGTTAACATTTCCCTGGAATGATGATCAGTATTTTAAAAAAGATGTTATAAAATCAAATGTTATTTAAAAAAAAAAAAGGAATATAAATTCGAAAAGTAAAATGTTACTGTAATTCCACGATTTATCCATAATCTATGTGGCACCATTTTAGCTGACCTCCACTTTTAATGTAGAGTTTTAAAAATTCAGATTGTAATACAATGCATATTGTACATTACATATCAAAGGCTAAAAACTCTAGTAAAAGAGACCAGACTTTGTATATGGCGTTTATTTCACATTACCTTTCTCTGTTTCAAGAAAATATGTTCAATGAAATTATAAAATGTCAGATGTTAACCCTAACGACGTCCCTACACAGATAAGATGAAGTTGTCTTTTAAATACTGCCCTTCAAGGGTTTGGAAACAGTATTTCCATATTGCACAGTTTTAATATTAATACAGTGTCCAACACTACAGAATACTCAGAACCATGAAATCATATGATTTTTAGTCTTCAGTGACACTTGAAAAAGAAATTAACTCAGTGCATTAGGCGGGGGGCAGCCTCAGTGTTGGCTGACATGAGTGAGATAAATGCCTCCTCTCACACATTCGTTCGTATATTGTGCTGCCTGTTATCCCAGGCACAGATTACTCAGGACTGCTGACAGATGCAAGGAGTCACTTATTCCCACCCCCGCTCCCCTCTCCATGAGAAGCCTACCTATTGGTTATTTCCACTGAAGGGCTACCTTCTCAAGATTTCACTTGCAGAACCTGCCTGACAGTGCCTCTGTATGGTCTAGGTGAAATCACTGTCCCTCACAGAGATGGACAGAAATGCCATTTTGGTCATAAGTATGGGGAAGGAAAAAGGAAAATAATAATAAAAAAAAGACAAATAAGGGCGTGTGTGGGAGGGAGGAGAGAACAAGCAAGCCTGATCATGCTTGTTAAGCCCTTCATAAAGTTCTCTCAAGTGTGGGTGCACAGGCACACACACGTGTTCCTTCACACTTTGGCATAGTCTGCTGGAGGGGTTTTCAGGCCTGAGCTGTTTCTGAAGGCCGTGTTATCTCTAAAACATATAATTTCTTCACCTACACACTTAAAAAAAAAGGCCATAAACTTTACATCACTAACACATGTAAGTGAACAGGACAAAAATAGCACCTCTGAAAATATCAAAAATTCATTATGGAGTTTTGATTTAGAAACTGTCTAGGGAAGAACTTCAAAGTAATAGCGCTATGCAGGCAAAACACTGTCACTGGGACACAACTGCTGTCAAATGTCATTTTCATCTTAGGAGAGAAAAGGTGTGCTTTGTTGGGTTTCTAATTAAATATTTTTAAATAGGTCTCAAAATAAAAATCACAGTAAATATCAGGAATAAGCAGGGACTACTGTAAGCTAATAATTTTTGTGGTTTGCTTTCCCAAATATCACTACAGTTAACAGTCACTTTCTGCAATATTCAAGTTGTTGAGAAAAATCTTGTATTTTTGTCTCAAAGGCTTTTGACACATATAAAAACCCATGTTCTTCTCCCAGCTTTAAGTGCAAAAGAGATGTCCATAAATTTGGATGAAACCAAAACTAAATTAAAACGTAATCCTAAATTGAGGTAGCACATTTAACCAAGTTTCTTTCCAAGAACTTTGAAAGAAACTGAAGAATTTTAAGATCAATGTCTCGGTCAGCAAGCATTGAAACCTTTAGTGACTGATGTGTTCTTTCCTCTCCATTTGAGCATTTCAGGAGCTTGGAAGTGCTCATTTAAGTCTTCCTTTTTTCCGCAAAAAACACTGTTTAGTCCATGCACCTTTAGGTCCTGTGGCATCTATTGCAACATCAATAATGGAATCTGGAGTCATCCACCTCAGGAACGCCAAGAAAAGGAAGTTCAGAACAGCAAAAAGAGCAAAAATACACCCAGTCACTGGGCCACAGTGAGACATTAGCCTGTTAAGTCGCTCATCCATTGGTAAAACCACTTCATCCGCAACCCTGTCATACACCTAAAAGGAGAAGAGACAGAAAGTAAGATCTTAAAATGATGTTGCTCCTAGCTCAAAAGTCAGGCAGTACTTTGCTGTCAGTGTCCAAAATAAATTACCTATTCCCAACTACTAGATGGGACAAATATAACCTCAAAAAAAGCTTTGCAGATTTAAAATATTGATTTTCGAGTACTGTTCTAGAAATTTCATTAATTTATTTAAGGCAAAAAAAGGAAAAAAAAAGTTTTATTTTTTTGACAGACCTCAAGAGTATTTCATTAAATACAAAGGCTGCATAATTTGTCTCTCATGTAATGTTATATAGAGAGGGTTGGGTTTTTTTAATTAACTGAATGGGTTCTAAAGTCATATTCACACCCGTCACAGGAAAAGAGTCTGAACATTCAATTACTAGATTTTCAACACAAAGATGGATGAACTCATATATGAGTGGGCAGTCTTCCAAATCTCTATATCTGAACAATCAAGCAAATCATAATAGGATACTGACTTTTATTTAAAGAAACATTAGTAATTCCTAGTAAAATTCTTAAAATTCAATGAAAGTGAAAAGCAAATACATGCTACTAGTGACTTAATATACATGTTAACCACAATCACTAAAAGAAAAAAAAGTATATAGTCCTGTGTTTCATAGAACAGAAACTTAAACACCTGCTACACACAACTCAAAAAAAGACTTAAAGGGTACAGAGCTTTTTTCCTCGAGAACATTACAGACTTCATCCTACAGGTAACTTAACAGTGAGCTAACAACTGTCTTTTGTAAAACAGAAGTTCCATGCGTACCTCTTCCAATTATACTAATATTTTCCTTCACAGAGGTGCGGGTTTTGGGGTTTTTTGTGTGTTTTGGGTTTTTTTAAAGAAAGGGCTACAAAGGAAACTGAAATCTAGACTACTATAAAAACTTTGCACATGAAATCTTGCTTGCAGTTACAAAATCATAAAATGAATTTTACTGACAGTACTTGAAAATGATAAAATAAACTTGGTGTACATGATACTTCAAGGATACTTGTAAGAGACATATACCTGAGCACACTGCAATGTAATTATGAGGCACATGATTCAGCTGCTCTCGTCTAAAACACGGGGGCTGAAGTCAGAAGCAACATATCTTCACAGGCATTTATAACATTATTGCAGTGAACCTTCTTCATTAATGGCAGAGATTTTACACTGCAGCACAGTTCTAATTCTGAAGTACAATTTCAAAAGTGTGATAATTTATTTTCATCACATCCGTAACTTATGTAATTTCAGCTACGTTCAGCCTACCACCATTAAACAACCTCTCATAATTTTAAACCACTTGTTAGCATGTGGCAGACAAGACTTCACCATGAACTCTGTCTTTTCCTTTCATACATGTTATACAGCATGTTTTCCAGTTATGCCCAAAAAATTAATTAATACAGAGACTGGAAAAAAGATATCTGAGTATAAATGTAATTAAAAGTCTAGGCTGTTCTTCAGAATATTTATAAGCAGTTATAGCATAGAAAAAAATGGAAATAGAAAAAAACACCTATGTAGGAAAGTATGCTGGGGAAAAAAAAGTGTTTTCTGAACCTTTCTAAACCATGTGTGTTTGACAGTAAACACACTAAAAATTATACTAAAAGATTACACAGAGAACATACATAGTAGTGTTTCAAAGAAGCAGCTGTTTCAGAAATGTACTTTAAAAGAATTAAAAATAAGTGTTTATACATACTTTCTCAGTTCTCTCTGCTACATTCCTCCATGTATAAAATGTCTTTACTTTATTATGAACACTTTCTGGAGATGGTAGTGTTCCTGATCTGAGCTGGGCAATAGCTTTTTCTAATCCATCACACAAAGATTTCACAGAGGGTTCACATAAAATAATGAGATTTTCTGGAAGCACCTCAGGAATCCCGCCAACTCTGGTACTCACCACCTTTGAAAGAAACAAAAGAAATAGCACATATACTGCATAGCAATAAAGTAGAGTGATGGCACTGCTATTACACTGTTCAGATGCAACACTTAAGATGAATAGGAAAAAAAAAAATACAATGAGTGGTTGCCATGAAGCCAAAGACCGTTATCAAGCTTTGGGAATTTTACTGGTACACAAACTAAAGGTCCAGGCCCTAGAAAAGGCCTAACATAGCAGATCGCCTTTAACAATGTTCAGGATGATTCTTCAGTGGCATGGTAAGACAGAAGACTCAGGCTAATGAGTGGTTTACGAGACATCTTTTCTAAAGCTGATTGTCACAGTACACAACTAAATCTGCTAACCAGATTTTGGGCTTTCTCTCCATAGTCCCTCATGATAACCATTACCTCTACTTGGAGAGGACAGTTTTACCACATCCACCTTCAGCTGATCCTTTCTGGGATACTGAATATTTACAATAACTTCTTAGAAGTTCAATAATTTTAATCTGAATTATTATTTTTAAAGGGAAATCAGAAACTATAAAGACTCGCGTTAAGGAATCATCTCTAAACAGCAGGCAACAATAAGAAAACTGCGGAAATTCCCAAACTTTAGAGAGGAAAACAGATGACAGGGGGGTAACAGCCACAACTAGGTAGTAGCTACTATCAAAAGATACTGGAAGTAAAAGAAGTCCCTCACATTTTCTATACTTCTTGTAAATTAGACACTTCCATCAGTCTGTATTTTAAAAAAATTTCTTTCAATTTTAATGTGAGAATCTCATTTTTTATATATATCTGTTGATTTAACTTATTAGAGTTGTCAATTTGAGTTGTAAATTAGCCAGAAAGGGCTTTTACTCCTTTCTCTCTCTCTCCTTCTTATCCTGAATCCCAACATGGTAAGGCCAATACATCCTCAGTGAATATACAAAAACGAATGACAGTGCTTGGTGCAGGAATAAAAAGGTTCCAATTCACTAGTTTAGTCTGGTAATTCAGTATTCCTGACTGACCACAGTCAAACCACGATCAGGAACCATTTTTCTGCAACTCCTCTTAAAGCAGCATCAAAGTAAACCTTCACAAACATGAACTACCCCAAAACTCTGTAAAGGAGTACATACAAAACAGCATTTTGGAGAGGTAGTCTGGTTAGTTCAAAGAACTGAGAGTTAGCAGATCTACATGTTATTCCCAATTCTGCTGCACAAGTTTCTTCTGGGAGCTTAAGTAGTTTTGGTTAACCCTCCTGTCTCAGCTTCCAGGTGATCTGCAAATGGGGATAATAATTGCTCACCTTTGTAAGACAGAGCCTCAGATGAAATCAAATGTTATAAGCATATATTATTTAATCATGAACTTTGTTTAAATCAGATACATGCATTCTAGATTTTTTACCTGTAAACCACAGCTTGCTGCTTCCACAATTGCCATACAAAAGGCCTCAGTGAGGGAAGTGTTGAGAAAAATGTGCCCTTGGACTAGAACATTTCTAACATCCTGGTGTTCCAAGGCCCCTAGGAGACGTACTCTGCAGATAAGGAAAAAAAAAAAAATTAGATAAACACTAGATTTGGAATGCAATAATGCTGTATGTTACACATTCTGAAAAATGTACCAATGGTTCACACTTATATAGTGAGAGAAGGAACACAGATGCGTTTGTTCCACTTTCTCTAGTTTTTTCCAGGAATAACGAAATAGAAGACACTGTTTCTTATTCTCACATTAAAAGAAAATTCTGAAAATAAAGTTAGGAGAAGCTGCTCTGCTTATTTTAATAGCAACTGCCTTCAAAACATTGCTACTGAGCTTTCTAGTTCTGTAAGAAAACATGGCTTCACACAGTTAATTATCAAGATTTCTCACCCTTCCTTTGTTTAGATGCATTATCTGAATTTTCAGTGTGAGGTCTGATCAATCTCAAAGTCTGGGGTGTGGGGGGAAAAGTATTTAGGAAACAATGATCAGGACCTATTATTTTGAAGAGATACTGGGAAGCAGAAAGTGGTGAAATAAGAATGATACTAACAACTAACTTACGTCCATTCATAAGGATCACTGACTGAACTACAGAACAGGCAACAGAAAATAGAGAAAAGGAAATGGAAAATTAAGAACCTTGTCCTTGCCACATAAAACTGTCTTTGAACAACAAGAAAACAAAGAAATAGACAAAGGCATGCACATCACAAAAACATTTCGGTAACACAGTAGCACCAAAGGAACACCTTTGTAGTACCATAAAAACCCACACTAGATAAGCACTGCCCTGAAAAGTTTCATACTGAAATAATAAAATAAATTACTAGCAGTTATCCCCAAAAGCAGCAGTGACACAAACTAGCTGTCCAACACCTTATGCCATATGGTAACATGTGATCCAAGCGTCAACAGTTTCAGAGAAGAATATGATAAACTTAGGTCTAAGTCAGCTTTTCTTTGACTTGAGTGAAGGTTCATACAGGGTCTGTTTCTCTGAATTAACTTGCACAATCACAGTCCTATTCTTTAAGTCTTCAGTTAGTGTCTGGTCTATCTGCCTCGCCTTCAATAGCTCTCATCTTCTCCAGTCTCAAGTTTTTGGGGTTTGGGTATTTTCAGGGGGAGGTTGGCAGGCATAAAGGGTGTTGCTGTTGTTTCCCCCACCCCAAAGTACATTGAAGGGTCATAGACATGCACAGAACAAACCTGTCATGTAGCTGGTATCTTTCCCGGACTTCTTCCAGTACGATTCGTTTTGGTCCTTCTCCTCCAACTAAGAAATGTAACTCTGGGTATTTCTGACAGAGCTCAGGAATTATACCACTAAGCAAATCTATACCTAAGAGTACAAAATTTAGGGCAAGCCATTATTGTATTTGATTTTAGAACTTATCATGATGATGTAGCCTATTGCTACAACTCTATTGAAGAGAAGAAAAAAAAAAAAGTCTCTTGAAGATAATTACACTGCTGAACACAAAATTCTAAAAATAAGACAATTTTTGATGCATTAGGAGACAAATATGGAAAAAAAATAACTTAAGTTGCTGTTGCTTGATTAAATAATAAAAAAAGTTAATACATTTTCACAGAATATATAGATTAGGGCCTAAATAATATCCCCAGGGTAAGCCAAACCTTCCATTTTACAAATTTCCATTTTCACTATCTTCAATATTAAAAAAGAAATACAGCTCTGAATCCAACATGTGCAAACTGAAATGAACATTTCTTCTTCTCGAAGGCACAAACGCCAAAGCTCAGAACCGCTACCTTACAACTCCCATTTAACAGCTAATCCATACCACAGACACAGCGTAAGCGGTACCCAGCCAAGACCCTTCTTACTATGCTCTAAAGAAAAAAATAACCAAAGTAACCTTACATTTTAGCCCCCATTACCTTTTCTGTAAACCAGTCTGCTGACAACAACAATTGTTATTGTCCTGTCGTCCCTCCGCGACGGGTCGGGAGTGAAGTCGGTGGGATCGACAGCGTTGGGGATGACAGAGACGATCTGAGGGTCCAGAGCTGCTCGCAGCACCGTGTTTTCCTTGCTCGTGTAGGAGACACAGATGATGTGGTTCGTATCGCACAGGGACACCGTCAGGAGTTTGTTGGTAAGCACCGAGCTGACATCCGCAAACCCGAAGAGGGAGTGGTCGGTGAACACCGTCCGCAGCCCCATGGTCTTGGCGTGGAAGAGGGCGTCATGGGCCATGGCGGAGAAGGAGCTGTGAGCGTGGACGATGGTGACCCTCTCCCGCA